CGCAATGGAGTCTTTTGTATCTCTGACTTACCGGCGCTACCTTAAGCAACAACTCGCCCCTCAACCAACATAAGATGTACGGCAGCCAGCTAAGCCATTCGCCCGACTCGTCGTCTTCCTCCGTAGACGAGGCAGACAACACGGCCGACGAAGAAGACTCGGAAGACTACTGCAAGGGCGGCTATCACCCTGTCCAGGTCGGCGAAGAATACAAGGATGGCAAGTACACGATTGTGCGCAAACTAGGTTGGGGCCACTTCTCTACCGTCTGGCTCTCGCGCGACAACACCAACGGCAAGCATGTCGCCCTCAAAGTCGTCCGCTCGGCCGCCCACTACACCGAGACCGCCCTCGACGAAATCAAGCTGCTCAAAAAGGTCGTCGAGGCCAACGTCAACCACCCCGGCCGTAAACACGTCGTCAGCCTGCTCGACTCCTTCAATCACAAAGGGCCCAATGGCGTCCACGTCTGCATGGTCTTTGAAGTTCTGGGTGAGAACCTGCTGGGGCTCATCAAGCGCTGGAACCACCGGGGCATCCCGATGCCGCTGGTCAAGCAAATCACAAAGCAGGTCCTCTTGGGCCTCGACTACCTCCACCGCGAATGCGGCATCATCCACACCGACCTGAAGCCCGAAAACGTCCTCATCGAGATTGGCGACGTCGAGCAGATTGTCAAGACCCATGTCAAGGATGAGCCCAAGAAAAAGGACAGTGACGACAGCGGTCGCAACGGCAGGCGGAGACGGAGGACCCTCATCACAGGCAGCCAGCCGCTTCCGAGCCCGCTCAATGCCAGCTTCAACCACGCAGACATCAACAGCTTCCCAGGTATGGGAAGCACCTCGAGTCTCAACAAGATTGTCAATCAAGGCACAGGTAAAGATTCCCCCACGAGTACTCCGACTCCCACCACTTCTCAAGACGGCCTTGTAATGAGTGGTGCTCTAGCAACTTCCTCCTCGGCATCCTCCTCCAACCCCGCCTCGAACCTCTCCATGGCAGAACGGCTTGGCTTGAAAGCCAATGCAAGCGAAGACGACGTGCAGAAACAGCGGGAAAAGACGGCGTAAGTCTCTGGCCTCTTTGGTCATGGATCCCTCCGCATCATGGACTAACCTGGCTAGCGACCTCCTCACAAAAGAAGTATCAGGCATCAACCTGGACCAACCCACGAGTGCACCTGCCAAATCAGAACTCGAAGAATCGACAGACAAGGCGTTTGAGACGATATCCGTCAAGATTGCGGATCTCGGTAATGCATGCTGGGTCGGCCATCACTTCACAAACGACATTCAAACACGGCAGTATAGGTCGCCAGAAGTCATACTGGGCAGCAAATGGGGTGCCAGTACCGATGTCTGGAGTATGGCTGCGATGGTAGGTGACAAAAGTACGCGTCTTGTCAACCCTCATGTTACTGACCGACTTCACAGACCTTTGAACTCATCACAGGCGATTACCTCTTCGATCCCCAATCCGGCACCAAATACGGCAAAGACGATGACCACATTGCACAAATCATCGAACTCCTCGGCACCTTTCCGAAATCCCTCTGCCTATCCGGAAAATGGAGCCAAGAAATCTTCAACCGCAAGGGCGAACTGCGCAACATTCACCGCTTGCGACACTGGGCGCTCCCCGATGTCCTGCACGAAAAATACCACTTTCCGGCCGAAGAGAGCAAAAAGGTGGCAGACTTTTTGCTTCCCATGCTGGAGTTGCTTCCTGTCGACCGGGCGAATGCAGGGGGCATGGCGGGACATGAATGGTTGAAGGATACCAAGGGTATGGAGAATGTGGATTTGGGCATTCCGGTGGGGAGTAAAGGCGAGGGAATCGAGGGCTGGGCTACCGAGGTGAAGAAGACGAGGTAGTGGTAGTGGTAGTTTTGTGGCATCTTTTTTGCTCTTGTTGTTGTACCTTCATGATTTGGGTGTAGTGTGGTGGGGGGTCTGGGTGTATGGGCTTTTATTTTTGTGGTGGTTTGCAGTGATTGTCGTAAGGGAAAGAAGGGAGGGAGGGAGGAAGGAAGAAAGGAAGGGAGGAAGGAAGGAAAGGCCGAAGCTGTGTTTTGTATTACTGAATCATGACCTCGTGATGTGAGGAAGAATTGTATGGTCACTGGTTAGGGCTGATGGTGGTGGTGGTGGTGGTGGCTGGACAGAGCCGTTTGTTGTCTTTGCAGACTGCACTGCACTACGCGTAGAAGAAAGAAGTAGAAATGTGGGGTCTGGGGTCGAGGATTGAGAATGAGGATGAGGATGAGGATGAAGGATGAGGATGAGGATGAGGATGAAGATTAAGGAAAAGGATGTAAGGGGGGT